AGGGGGCGCTTGGAAATAGATGAAAATCGGGGGGTTCTTATGGAAAATTATTAAATTAAAGAGGCACTTTTTGAACGAAAAAAGATTATATATGGACATTCGAATGGTGGTTAGGCGGAAAAGATAATAGTCCATGGCTCATGACAAGAATGCTGTGAATATTTACATCACAACAGAATAGCAGATGCAATTAGTGGTGGTAAGTAGTGGTTAGCTTGTTGGCCATCGGCCGATTGAGATGAGCAGGATGGCAGGATCATTGTATATTCTCTTGAAAATTGAGATGAGAATGTGCTAAAGGTCGGAAAATAAAAAGAGGAGTAGGACTAGGCATAGACAAATATGTAAAAAGAGTAAAGTTGGAAATATACTGGTTGTCCAGGGATCGGAGCTCTCATCTGTCCAAGAGAAATATTCTCATTTTGATATTGACCTAGCTCAGAAGAATGTGATTCCACTCTGCAGCTCAAATCATGCCAACAACCACAGTCCCAGGATTGATTGGATTATTAACTTCCTAAAAAGAAAATCTTATGATTTATGAAGGTGCGCTTATTCAAACAGGGCGCTTTTTTTACGTTAGGAGGGGCGGTTATTTGAGAGAGAGGCGCTTATTCAAACGGGGCGCTTATTCGCGCTAGTACGGTATTGATATTTTTTTTGATTATTTATTTATTAGTGTTGATACCTATTTGTTATCTTGCAGTATATTTTTGTGTTCGCACTTTTAATAATATCAAGTTCCTAAAAATATATGTTTTAAATTATGACATGTGCTTTATGTAATTCAAATTTAACACCTGATTCAGCGTCGTGCATATCTTGCAATATTACAGTACACTTGAAATGTAATAATAAATCAGAAAACAAGCTGTGTTCAAACTGTGCCAATATTATTTTTCCTTTTAACCATATTTAAGATGACACCGAATTTGTTCATGAAGTTAAACATTTTTTTCTAGATCATAAGTTAAACTTAAATAAAATCTCTCAATTTAAATCCCTTTGATATTGATTTATATGATAGCAATGCAGATAGTAACTTATTCTTTCCTGAAAACAATGATGTATGCACATTGATACATTGAACTCATTGATAGTTTTAATTTAAAATATTTTTCTTTTAGCACTTTTTATCTAAATGCCAGAAGCTTAGTCAAACACTCGATGAAATGAAAGATTTCTTAAATACAATCAATCACGAATTTACTGCATTGTGTTTTTCAGAGACGTTTTTTAACATTTTTAAAATTAACTTTCCTATTTACAGTATACCTGGCTATAACTTATTGCACAACTCAGGCTCTGATAGGCCAGGAGGTGGTGTCGCCATATACCTAGATTAGAGACATCAATACAGAATGCGTAATGATCTTTCCTCTATTATTTCTAGTACCGCGGAAACTTTTTATTGAAATCAATGCTCAACCTAAAAATATTATTCTTGCAGTGATACAGAAATCCTGAAATATCAGTTAATACTTTCAATAAAAATATTTCCAAAATCCTTAAAATTATAAGTAAAGAAACCAAAACTTCGTACCTTACTGGTGATTTCAACATTAATTTACTAAATTGTAATACCCACTGCCAAACATCAGAATTCAATAATAATAATATGTTTAATTTTAATTTTTATCCTCTAGCTACTAAACCAACACGAATTACAACGAAAACTGCAACCCTCATTGATAATATTTTTTCTAATAACATTATAAAAATTACACCTGGTATTTTCTATTCTGACATATCTGATCATTTTCCCGTTTTCTTTTTAAACAATAGCATTTCAGCTGACAGCTGACTTTTACAAATTGGTCTGATCTATATAATAATGATGACCCTAACTCTTCTTTCAACTTATGTAATTCTACATTCAAATTGATATATAGCAGGCATTTTAAAAAACAAAAATGTAGACGGAATTTACGCAAAGAGAAACAACCTTGGAATTAAAATTAATTAATTCATTAATAAAGTTCATTGATACCAGAAATAATTTATACATAAAAATATTTAAGAACTAATAGAAATTTATATAAAATTAAATACATCAGCTATAGAAATAAACTAACTAAATTGCTTAAATATGCTAAGAAAAAGCATTACATTGAAAAATTTAATAATTACAAATTTAATGTACAGAAAACTTGGAAAACTTTTAATAATATGCTTGGAAAAAACTCTAAAAAGCCTACACCATCTCATTTTTATATATAACGACAACAAATAACTGACCCTTTATCTATTTCTTCTTATTTTAACGATTATTTTACAAATATTAGTCCTAAATATGTAAATAGTGTATTGGTAAACCCCAAATCAGCAATCTGAATTTTTCATCATTTCTAAATCAGCCCCTACTAAGCTCTATTTTTCTTACACCTATAACGCATTTTGATGTATACGATTTAATTCAAATATAAACATCAAAAAACGCTCCAGGATTGATAGTTATTACAACAAAGTAATTAAATCTGTGTTATCCTTTATTTCTACTCCATTATCCTGTATATATATTTCTTTACTCAATGGTATCTTCCCAGATAGTCTTAAAATCGCAAAAGTTATTTCAATTAAAAAAAAAAAGAAGACAGGCCTACATCAGTTTAATAATTATAGGCCTATTTCATTACTCCCCTGCTTATCCAAAATATTCGAACGATTAATTAACAAAAGACTTTATAATCTTTTTGTAAACATAATAGTATTTATAATAGACAATATGGCTTTAGAAAACAATATTCCACTGACCTTGCATTAATTGACATCTATAACAAAATGACTTATGCCTTAAGCAAAAACAAAATAACAATCGGAATTTTCCTTGATTTGTCGAAGGCCTTTGATACCATTAATCACGATATTCTTATTCATAAGCTTGAACATTATGGTATCAGAGGCCTTTTACTACAATTGATTCAAAGCTAATTGTCAACCGTCAACAACTTACTTTTTTAAATTCTGTTGAATTTCTTTATTACCAATAACGTGCGGTGTACCTCAGGGCTCGATTTTAGGACCTCTTTTGTTTCTAATTTATGTTAATGATATTCCAAATTGTTCTAAATTATTTAACTTTATTTTATTCGCAGATGACACAAATATTTTAATATAATTTCTCGAAATTTATTAATGATGAACAAATTAAAGCTTTATCTGCCGATATTCTATTAATTTTATATAACACTCTTATTTTACCGTACCCTTCTTACTGTAATATTGCATGGGCAGTAAATACAAACAAATTCGAATCATTATGTCCTTGGTTAAGTTTGGAAAGTACGAAATATGACAAGTTTTTCCTCCTTCAAAAACGTGCTTTGCGTATTTGTGCACATGCATCATATAGGTCTAGTTCCCATACCAAACTTTTATTTCATAGTTTTAAAGTTCTTAATATTTATGACTAAATAAACTTCAAAAAGCTATATTTATGTTCATATTATTTAAACAAACTTTACCTTCTCAATTAAATGATTTATTTACATCAGTTTCCTCTGTTCACAATTATCCCACAAGATTTTCTACAAACAACTGTTTTTCAACATTACTGGGCAATACACAACTTAGACGGTTTTCGATTTTCAGTGTAGGCCCCAAATTGTGGAAAGATGTATGTATGTATGTATGTAATTAGATTTATATAGCGCATAACACCGGGGTCTCTATGCGCTGATACAACAGAGAGCAAAAAAGAAAACTAAACCATTGATCTATTCTAACGATGACTCACCTATCCTACAAAAAAGCAACAAAAAAGAAGGGAAAGAAAAACTAATATGCAATTCTGAAAAGATGTGTCATGAGCCTTTGTTTAAATGGAGTAAGAGACGGCGCTTCGTGTCCAGAGGCAAAGCGATATACACCCTGAACTTATAATATTGACAAACTATCCATCACCAGCTTTAAAAATCCTTTAAAATGTCTCTGGTCTCGGCATATGGTGAGTAATACCATATATTTATTTTCTAATTATTTCACTGTTTTCTGATTGTATATTATTTATTTGTTGAATCAGTTATACCGATTAACTTTCTTTTTGTGAACTAAGTTTACATAATTTTATTATTTGCCTTTTTTAAATATTGCAAAATTATTATTATTATTTTGTTTTGTTTTTGCCTTTTGTTAAGGGGGCTATTAGCCTAAAGAACTGTGCTCTGCGCAGCACATGATTTTATTATAGCCTCCTCCACATATACTGTATATTGTATATTTTTATGTTATTTGTGGAAAATAAAAGAAATCTAAATCTGAATTTGAATCTGAATATTATTTTTATTTTAGTCTTAATTGAAAGTTTATTTTTTAAGATAATAATTTTAATTGTAATTATAATATTATTATTGTCGTCCATTAAGATGATTTCCTGATCTTTATGTTTTTCTTGATGCAGTCTATTTTTCACTTTTGTCTTATATTTATATGTATTTGTATTGGTTTAACCGTTGTTCTTTTGTATGGACATGAAATTCCGAAATAAAAGATGAATGATGAATTAATGATGAATGAATATATAGTTTTTGTGGCTACTGAAAGTAGCTACTATGTCATCGAATGGTTTGGCGAGGCAAATGACTGTGAATCTCGGTACCAGTCGACACCTTTGATCACGAGCCAATAAACGCTAATAATAATTTCTTGCGAATATTTCCAAGAAAATACGAAAGTTTACGAACGCAGGACGTTACGATGTTACGAAAATTACTCGACACTCAGCGGATCTTTTTAGTTTTATTTTATGTTAGGTACCAGCTGCCTCCACGTTTTTTTTTTTTTTTTTTTTTTTTAATTTTATTTGTAGGTAGACCATGTTTGATTTCACTAAATTTGACAACTTTAGGTCTAGGTGAGCTACTGATTTCCATGTGTTACTATTAGTTAGTATTATTACTTAAAATGAAAACTTGTTTTGACGTTTTATTTCGAGTCTTTTTCCGTGAGTTTCCGTTTTATAGCTAGACGCGTAGTATTCTGATTTATCATTGGCCCGCCGGTGGAGCGACAATTTTTGTCGAGTCGTCGACTCAAGCCCTTGCTAGAACTACGCCTAAGCCTAGTTTACCATACATAAAGAACTAGTAGCAGACTGGCTTAATTACAAACTAATACTTTAGGCCAAGATGTGATTTATACAGAATCTCAGAATATTCAGCACTTCAAGGATGGCATTCCACGGAGAGGAGAGCCTATTCATGAGATAGGACTAGGCCTAGCCTACTTAGGTTAGGTAGCTAGCTAGTTCTACGAGGGAGTTATTGGTTATACTACGGTCGTTTCAGCAGCCATGTTTATACATATAAGTTTTAAAAATCATGTTGTAGCTAGGTAAGTAGTAGGACTATTGCTAATGAAACTATAGGGCCGCCTAGGCTAGGTAGGTAAACATATCTGGCTAAACGACCTATAGTGTATCTGGGCATAGTTAGGTTTAGGCCTACGCCCTACTACTACTACAGTTCAGTTAATAAATGTCTAGCAAGTGGGGACTCTTGAATCGGCCTGCAGCTGGACTTGTGATAGTTACTTATGATCAGGTCTAGTGTAATAAATATGCATTTTTCATTAGTCGTTATACATGTTAAAATTATTACTGTTAATACCGGTAATAATAAATATAAATATATAATAAATATATGGCAACAATATAAATATATAACAAAATATAAATGAATAAATTATTTATTTTTTATATATGTAATATTTATGCTATTAACTACAATATATTAAATAATATTAATGCATTCTATACAAATTAAAATTAATAAATAATATAAATAAAATATAGACAAATGTAAATACTTATATACATACATGCATGTAAAGATATAACAAATATATTACAAAAATATATATTAAAAACAATATATTACAGTAACATAACATTTAAAACATTAGAATATATATATAATATATATATATATATATATGTAATATTAAAATAAAAATAAATATATTAATATATATACATATATATACATATATACATACATATGTATACATATACATATATACATACATATATATACATATATACATATATATACATATATGTATGTATATACACACATTTATGTATATATATACATATATGTATATATGTATATATAATATTTAATATAATATAATATATAATATTATAGTAACATAACATATTTAAAACATTAGAATATATATACATATATATATCTTAAATTAATTATATATATATATATATATATTAAATTAATTTTTACTATGAAACGGGCAGCAAAATTGTAAACCAATATTACTGTTAATTTATGCTATTAACTACAGCATATTAAATAATAGTAATGCATTTTATACAAATTAAAATTAATAAATAATATAAATAAAATATAGACAAATGTAAATACTTAAATACATACGTATAAAGAAATAACAAATATATTCCAACAGTATATATTTAAAACTATATTACAGTAACAACATATTTAAAACATTAGAATATATTTATATATAATATTTATATAAAATATTAAAATAATAAATATATTAATATATATACATATATATA